TCTGGGACTGAGCACCGGAGAAACCACGGCAGCCCTTTTTATAGTTGGGCTGCTCGCGGCTGTGGCCAGTGATGGCTCTTCAAATTTCCCACCACCACGGACCGACCAATTACAGGTAAGTATGTTAATACAGTGGTCCCCAACCTTTTATGTGCCACGGCCCGGTAGCAGCATCACAAAATGATCCGCGGCCCGGTACCTGCATCAGCACGCATGACAAGGCAAGGCGAGCCAAGCGACCGGCCAGCCAGCAGTCCCCCACTTCTCCCCGCCACCTTCAACTCCTCCTTTGTACCTTTGTCGATGGGCTTCGCTTCGGGACGGCTTCGGAACGGTCACTCGGTTCGCCTTGCCTTGGGTGCTGAAAGAATCCTCGCGCCTTAGTTTTGTTTGAAGCCCCACCTTCAATGAAACTAAGGCACGAGGATTCCTTCAGGACCCAAACGCCACTTTCCAACCGGAAAAGCTCACCCGGAAGCACTTTCTCATCAAACAAGATGGCGGTGCCCAGCAAACTGGTGGCCCGGTAGGAAACGTTCCACGGACCGGTACCGGTCCACGGCCCGGTGGTTGGGTACCCTTGTGTTAATACATAACACCCCTCCCCACCTGGTCTGGTCCAACCAATCTGAGCCTCACCTACCGTATGTAATCAAATAGGTAGGCGGGGCTTTTATGGTTTCTATTGAACCTGGGCAACTCAGTCGTGGGTTGGCCTTGGACTATTCGAACGGGTCTGTTGTTCCTCCCGTCCATCTTCTTGGAACCTCCTGGAAGGCTGAGTCAGCCATGCCGCTCCCACCAGGAATTTCTTGGCTGGTTGAGTTAGTGCAGCCGCTCCCGCCAGGGATTGCTTTCCTGCTATCCTTCTGGACCTGTTCCTGTCTGCCCAACCTGCCTTCTCCCCCAGTCTCAGGTACATGTTTGCATTTCCTGACTGGGGCTAGTGTTAGTATTGGTTGTTGTGTAGTTGTCAGGGTTTGTTCTGTTATTTCTCTTGTTTGTGGAAGGTCTCCCCCTCCCTTTCTACTTGTGTTTTGTCTGTTTGAGGGGTCTCTCCCCTCTTCTCTGGTTGTGTTTTGTTTGTTTGAGGGGGTCTCCCCTCTCTTCCGTGGGTCTGTTTGGGTCTCCCTTTGTGGCTCTAGATCTGAGCTACTCTATGTGCCTCCTCCAGCTCCTCCTGTCCTCGGTGTCTACCCTGTATGAACAGGGCCCAGTTATCTGGATCACTTTTGCTGGTATCCACAAAGGTTCCTCTGTAAGGTTTTTTGCATATACTGGGTCCCCTGTTTGAAATGTGCAGCAATTACTGGAGGAGTCTGCTGGTTTTTCTGGGCTATATGTGGGGTGTAGTCTTATCTAGGTGTGATTTTAGTTTCTTCCCCATTAGTAACTCTGCCGGACTTTTGTTTGTTGTAGCACTGGGTGTCATGTGCTGAATGCTTAGTAGCTTATCTATCTTTTCTTGTGTGTCCCCAGGTGCTAGCTTTTGTAATATTTCCTTTGTGTAATGTACCATGCACTCTACCCATCCATTCGTGGCTGGGTGTCCCAGTGCTGTCAGTGCATGCCTTATCCCATGTTGTGCTAGAAACCCTTTGAATGTTGTTGCCGTGAACTGTGGCCTGTTGTCAAAGTCCAGTTGCCTTTTTTAAAAGTATCTTTGGGGCAGCCATGACCTACATGATGGACCATCTCCATGGACATTGAACTGGGATGAGGTGACCCTGAGAATATCTATGTCTCTGGAGATTCTCCATCATTCCGGTCCTTTTCCCAAAAGGCACCTGGACTTTCTTAGTGTTTTCTTTGAAAACTTTTCTCCTCTCATCCAAGAAGCTTGGATGAAGTTCTGAATGGAAGAAGCCTCTTGGGTGAGAAGCAAAACATTTTCAAAGGAAAAAAGAAAACCAGAACATCCCCTTGCTTTTTGGGAAAAGCACCTTTGAGGTAACCACGATGTGGATGTTTGAGAATTTAACCAAGAGTTTGAGAATTTAACCAAGAGTTTGAGAATTTAACCAAGGGGATATGATCATATTTTGTAAATACCTGAAGGATGTCATTTGAGCCATGCTCTCCTCAATGTGCGGGACACAAGATAGTAGAGTTTATAGGATGCTAGAAAAGAAAGTAAGGTCAGGGGTGTCTCTTTAGGAAAGTTCACAGCTGTTGGGTGGCCTCAAAGATCTCCCCAAATTTGCTTGGACAAGTACGTTCCAGATGAGCTTCCAGCCATGAGAACTTTCACTTGAGGAGTCCATGTTTGTCCCATTTTCAGTTAAAGACACTTTGCTGCCCTTTGGTTCTGGAGGATACAGTCCATCCAGCCTAGGACATCAAAGGATGTTGCAGTCCCACCTACCTGGAAGATGGCTTAGAGGAGGGAATAGAAGGGGAACTCATCAAATTTGCAGATGACACTAAACTGGCAGGAATAACCAACACCCCAGAAGACGAGCTCAGGATCCAAAGAGATCTTGACAGACTATTCAAAATTTCCACTACTGGTTCTCCAGAACTGGTCAGAACCTGCTGAAGACCACCTCTGTTCTTGTCCTGCTGTAAGGATCGCCTCTCCTTCTAATGTAAGAAAGTGAAGACTCTTGAAACGAAGTATTTCAAAAGGAAGCTTTTATTAAGCAGAAGTGAAAGCACGCCATTCAAAACAATGTCTGACTATCCTTAAGCAAGACAAGTAGAATTCAGCAGTAGAGACCCTTGCCTTTATCCAGATGTGGATTCAACCAATCCACAGGTGTGAAGATGTTATTATACCGGCTGCACTGAGAAACAGATAAGCATACGTTACCATGGCCATCTTCCGCTGGCTATTAAAGTGAAACAACCCCAATGGCCCTCCCTCCTATATATACCCTCCAAGAGGTGAGAAAATCTCAGGGCATGTGATGACCCAGGGTGGGATACAAAACAAACACAGTCACAGAAAACAGGTGAAGCCCCTTTTATTCTTTCACTTTGCTTCCAAGCTCTGAATATTCTTGATGGAAGCTAAAAAAACTCCCACACAAACAGTTACAAGAAGAAGGGAAAAAGCAACACCAACCAGGCACGATAAGGGCTGGAGGACGTCCACAGATAACACACACTGGGAAGGACACTAAACTCAGAGAGGAACCATAAACCAGAGATATTTCCACACTTTATTTCCGGTGTTCGCCCGTACACATGTCCGTCCTCTTATCCAGTTCTCACAGCTGCAGCCCATGAAGGGGATCAAGGCCCTCTCCTCCCCCATAGACCACGTCTCTCCTTTATCCTCTCCTCCCTGCATGCCCTAGGATGGATAGGGGATGGGCCTGGGTCCTCCTCTGACTGCCCAGCCAGCCTCTGCCCTTCCCCAGCCTCCTCCACAACCTCCGGAGCCAGACTTCCACTCCCTGTCGGCTGTTCCTCTTCTCCCTCAGAGTCAGTCTCCACCATGGGCTACAAGTTATAAAATATCAGTTGTCACAAGCAATATTAATGAATCGAATCCAAGTCCTCCCAAATGAATGGCAGTATCATTTTTAGGGATCTGACACCTACCTTCAGGGACTTTGGAGAACAGGCTGACCTCCTCTCCAGCCCACCTTACAGGGTTGTTGTTGTAGGGAAATAGGAGGAGGAAAGAGTATTAAGCACGTTTGCCACCTTGAATTACGGTACCTAGAAAGTATGTCATATAGGTTAGTCTTCGATTTACAGCCACAATTGAAGCCAACCTTTCTCTCCTCAAGCGAGCCATTTGTCAAGCGAGTTTTGTCCCACTTTAAGATTATTCTGGCCACTGTTGTTAAGTGATCCCTGAAGTCGTTAAGTGAATATGGCTTCCCCATTGACGAAGGGAATCTCATGATCCTGGGACGCAACAAGTGTCGTAAATAGGAGTCCTTTGCTTAGCATCTGAATTTTGATCATGTAACCATGGGAATGCTTCAAAGGTTGAAACTGTGGAAACGGTCCTAAGCGGGGTGGGATTCTACTGGTTTGGAACGGTTTGTGAGAACCGGTTGTTCCGGTGAGTGTTTGGCCCTGCCCACCGGCCCCTGCTCTTCCTGTACTTTATTTCCTGGTTTTTTTTTTTTTAGCATAGCCGCTCCTCAGCTGTTTCAGCCACCAGCACTGCAGTAGAAGGCAAGTAATTCAGTTGAAAACGGGCTTTTAAAAATGTAGAGGATGCATCACGCACTCACCGAACCAGTTGTTGCACCGGTGGGTGCTAAGCAGTGGCGCGTTTCAAAAATTTTTTACCACTGCTTCAGTGGGCATGGCTTGGTGGGCGTACTTTGCGTGCGCGCGCACACTTTGCATGGACACGCGTGCCAAGTGTGCACTTTGCACAGGCACAGAGGCATTTCGACTCACCTCCTGCAATCCTGCCCTCTCCCTGTTGCGTCAGCAGCTGCCACGCAGCAATCAGTTGTGCCTCACAATGTAGCTGTGCTTCAAAAGCAGAACCGGTTCAGTCTCCGCTGCTCATCGGCGCTACTGGCTCGGCAAAACTGGGCCGAATTGGTAGAATACCACCGCTGGTCCAAAGTCATTTTTTCAGTGCCATTGTAACTTTCAACGGTCACTAAATGAATTGTTGCAAGTCGAGGACTGCTGGCAAAGCTGGGATAACAATCTAATAAATGAAGAATGTCCAACGGACCATTTCTAGACCTGCTGCCCAAAATGCAGCTCAGTGTTTTTTCAACTTTGTCGCCTTTAAGAGAGGTGGACTTCAACTCCCAGCATTCCTAAGTTAGCCATGCTGGCTGGGGAATGCTGGGAGTTGAAGTCCATCCCTCTTAAAGGGACCAGGTTGAAAAAAAAACACCAATTTAGATTAACAGCCAGGTTCAACTGATGCACGATTCTACCCAGGAGAAACTCTAATTCCTTCATATCTCGCTTTGCCTGGTTGTAAAAGTTAATGTTTCATGAGCAGAGATGGAGCGGAGCTGTGTGTGACCCTTGTTAGTCTGATGAAAAAGATGACAAGCAAAGCGACCTTTGCAATGCTGCTTGCTGAAGCAAGGATAAAATGCACGCCGGACTAAAACCCAAGATTATTATCCGGCGCTATTTGCAGGTAAGCTTGGAAATCCTGACTGAAAAGGCAAACAAGGGGTCGTTCTCGACTTATGACCATAATGGACACTACAGTTGTTGAGTTGTGAGGGCCCTGGAGAGGCCCAGGGTTTGTTTGTTTTTCCAAAGTTTTTTGCGGTGGTCATTAAATGAACATGGTGGGTAAGTAAAGCAACGGTTTGCGACGGGCCTGTTTTGCAGAAAACTGAAAATAAATGCTGATTTTGGGAACGTGCGTCAAAAACCGGGGTCATGTGACCACGGAAAGCCGCCAACGGTCGTAAACTGAAATACATGCTAAATACCTTTGAGCGGTCTGCAATAACTTTGAAAGGTCACTAAACAAGGACAAGCTGTATGAGGAGAGTCTGAGTATGAACCTGAGTATGAAGACTACCAGGATGAAGACCGTCACTCTGGGATGTATGTTTCGTATGGAGGCTTTGTTTCTTTTTCTCTGAAATCCAGAACCTTCTAGATGGTTGAGAACTTCGAGTGGAATCTCTTAACGCAACAGTTCTCAATCTTGGTCGTTCGCCCTGTTAATGGAATGGTTGTGGGTGGTCTATCGCTGGAGATTTTTAAGAAGAGATTGGACATCCATCTAAATAACAGAATAACAGGGTTGGAAGGGACCTTGAAGGTCTTCTAGTCCAACCCCCTGCTCAGGCAGGAAAAACTATACCATCCCACACAAACGGTTGTTCCATCTACATTTGAAAAGCTCCAGCAAGGGAGCGGCCGCAACTTCTGGAGGCAAGTTGTTCCGCGGATTAATTGCTCTCATTGTTAGGAAGTTTGCGTTTTCATTCCAGATTGCTTCTCTCCTGGATTGGTTTCCATCCATCGCTTCTTGTCCTGTGTTGTTGAGGTGCTTTGGAGAGTAGTTTGGCCCCCCCCTGCTTCTTTGTGGGAGCCCCTGAGATATTCTTTTCATTAAACTAGACACACCCAATTCCTGCAACCTTCCTTTTGTTATAGTTTTACCTTCCGGTCTCCTAATCAGGGATGGGATTCAGACGGTTTGGGACGGTTCGAGCGAACTAGGTGTTAAATTTACATCTGGTTGGCTGAACCGGTAGTTGAACCCACTAGCTGGCCCTGCCTACTCCACCTCTCCCAGTAGTCTCCACGGGGCCATTTTGGGTGCAGGTAAGTGCAGGGTCCATGCAGAGGCTCCAGAAGAGTGAAAAATGTCCATCCTGGAATTTCCAGAAGTCAGGAAATGGGCCTGTTTCCAGCTTCCGGAGGGCCTTTGGAGCGCGGTGGAGGCCATTTTCACCCTCCCAGAGGCCCAAGGGAAGCCTCCAAACTCTGGGGAAGATGAAAAATGGCCCTCCCGGAAGTTCTGGTAAGCCACGCCTACCATGGCCACGCCCACCCAGCAACCGGGCAGAGAACCGGTTGCTGGGATTTTTGAATGCCACCCCTGTCCCAATGATCTCTATTGCTCTTCTCTGCCCTCTTTCTAGAGTCTCGACATCTTTTTTTACATCGTGGCGACCAAAACTGGACGCAATATTTTAAGTGTGATCTTTCCATTTGTCTGAAATGGTATAGAGTCGTGATGGCGAACCTATGGCACATGTGCCAGAAGTGGCACACCGAGCCAACTCCACCGGCATGCGAACCGTTGCCCCAGAGCAGGTCCACTGCGCATGCGCGTGTGCCACCCGCCCACCCGCTGATCATCAGGTAGCTGCTGCACATGTGTGGGGACAGGGCGCATGCAGGAGATGTGCGCACATGCGCAGAGATGCACAGGGGTCATGTGTAGAGGTGCAGAGGCGCACGGCGTGCACAAAAGAAGGTTGTGCCTGCATGCACATGGGGTGTGTGGGGAGTGCTGGCATGGGTGCGTGCACATGCATGAGGACAGAAAGGTTAGCCATGATTGGTATAGAGTTTCCTGCTTGAGATGGAAGATGGACTCGAACAGCGGTCGCCAACCGGTGGGCCATGAGAAAATTTTGGTGGGCCGCAGAGAAATCTCATCCCCAGAGCACCCCCACAAAGCAATTAAACGAGGCTGCACAGAAACACAAGGCTGCGCCATCCACATGGCCTGTGGGAACCCTCCCCATCCACTCACTCTTTACCTGGCAAACTTGCCTGCTAAATTTCTATTTTTCTGACCATCAGCTGTTCTGCTTTGTCGGGAGATTTAGATTAGCTAGGAAGCAAGAAATGGTTGGATTTCTTGCTTTCTAGCTAGTCTTTAGATCTTCGGCTCCGCTTTTAAGCACAGCCGAACCTCCCTTAGGACTGAAGGTTCTATTATTCAGTGCAGACTCACGGCAAGCAAATTTGAGAGACTGAGCTAGCTGATGGCAGATAGATAGATCACTGAATGATTCTGTGAGCAACTCAATCTGCCTGCCTGCTTTGCCTGATTTTGGGTAAAAGTTGCTCTTTTTAAAAAAATAAAAAATTCAATATTTACATACATGGTGTGCTGAGAGTTAATTTTATGAGTTTGCTTAGAAGCAAATTTTATGTGACAGACGATGGTAGATAGATAGATCTCTGAATGAATCTGTGAGCAACTCAATCTGCCTGCCTGCCTGCTTTGCCTGATTTTGGGTAAAAGTTGCTCTTTTTTAATAAAAAAAATATCAATATTTATACAAATATTTATAATATTTACATACAAGCCATGCCCAGCCAGTCACATCACCACCAAGCCACACCCACAAATTAGGCCACACCCACAGAACCGGTTAGTGGTCCCTGGGATCTAAAATGATGAGTTTGGTGGTCCCTGAGGTCCAAAAGGTTGGCGACCCCTGGACTAGAAGCCTTTCCTGCTCTGTTATTCTGTTATTCCTGAAAGTGAGTACAATTAACCAGTGGAACAGCTTCCCTCTAGAAGTTCTGGGTGTTCCAGCACTGGAGGTTTTTAAGACGAGATTGGACAGCCACTGGTCTGGAATGTTATAAGGTCTCCTGCCTGAGTAGGGGGTTGGACTAGAAGACCTCCAAGGTCCCTCCCAACTCTTGTTATTCGGCTATTCTAGTTAATATAATAACCGCTTAGGTCCGTGGGGTGAATCCAGCCAGTATCAATGTCTTCAAGGGGTTAATCATGTACATGAAAAAGGAGAGGGGAGGGGAGATAAGAGACAAACTGTGAGATTCATATTTATGACCTTCAAGCCACGTGGATGATGGAACGGGTCCAACTAGAACTGGCAGCACTTTCCACGCGTTCTTTTGACCCATGGCCATGACGTCTGGCTCCTGGTGCTTGTTCAGCCTCAGAGTTCATCCGGAAGGCTTTTTGAATCACAATTTTTGTGCAAATGTGCTTTCCCCCTCTCTTAAGAATACCACTCCTCTTGTTTTATATGGTTTTTTTTTTTTTATTCATAAACATTTTGAATACAGTATATTGTCAGGGCATGTCGTTTACAGAAAAGCAAAGAAAGAACGAACGGTAATGTTAACACGTATACTAATAACAATAATAATAGTGTAACAGAATAGTTTTAGCTAGGTGTAGGGTCTGCTTGAGTGGGGGGGGGGTTGGACTAGATGACCTACAAGGTCCCTTCCAACTCTGTTAATCTATATCTAACTAAGGAGATTTCTTTTTGTATTAGCTTATTCCTAATTCTGTTGGTTATATTGGCTTATTTATAATTATAAACCGTCTTTATATTAAGTTCATACATAGCAATAATCTTCCTTCAGCTAATTTCCACCTTTTATCTCTAATCACTTGTAAAATCTATTCCATAAGTAATATCCTGTGTCTTCTTTGTCCTTTATTTTTAATGTCTATCCATCTTGGCACAGTCTAATGTTTTCCGAATGACATCCTCATCGGACGGAGTGTTCTCATTTTTCCAGTGTTGTGCAAATACAATCCTCGCTGCTGCCAATACATGCAAAACTAGATATATAGTCCCTTTATCATAGTTCTCCGGCATTATATTGAACAAAAAACACTTCTGGTTTCAGATCTATTTGTTGCTTGATCCTCTTTTCCAACCATGTCTCTGTTTTCATCCAATATTTTCTTGCTTTCATACCAAGTCCACCACATATGATAATATTAAAGAATGCAGCTCCTAATCAGGAGCCACATACCTCTCATGAATTCTGGGGACATATCTGTGGATCCTCTAACCTCTTTAGGCTCCCATGCTGAAAATTGCATTGGTGTGCCAGCACCCAGGAGGCAATATGCCCTGCCCCCCACGCATGCGCCTGCCACACCCCACCACACCCCCTTAGCTGCACTGAGTATGCCAGAAGTGCCGAAACGGGTCCATTTTTCGGCCTCCAAAGGCTGTATTGGCTTCTCTCGAGTCCCTGGGAAGGCGAAAATGGCCTCCTGCGGGCTCCGCGGGCCCTTCGGAGGCTGAAAACGGGCCCTTCCGGTATTTCCAGAAGGCCCATTTTTCGGCCTCCCGAGGCTGCAAAGGCTTCCCTCGAGACTCAGAGAGGCCGAAAAAGGCCTCAAATGGGCTGAAAATCAGCTGGGAGGCACGCGCATGCGCAGTGCAGGTAAGTTTGGCTGGGGTTCGCGTGCCCACACAAATCGTTCACGCATGCCATAAGTCCGCCATCGCAGCCCTAGTCCAGTGGTGGTATGCTACTGGTTCACACCAGTTCGGCTAAACTGGTAGTAAAAAAAAAATCACCAAATCGGTAGTGAAACAGGTAGGATCCCACTGCTGCCCTAGTCAGCCTCTTCCTGTTTATCCTCTTAAAAATATTGACAAATCCATGTATTGATCCATGATAAGAATATAGGGGAAGCTGATCTGAAATATGAATGTATCTAAAAATATTTAAAACGCAGAACATAGAATCCTAGGGCTGGAAGGGCTGGCTTGGAGTTCCTCTAGTTGAACCCCTCTAGGAAACCCTATACCCAGGATGGTGAACCTATGGCACGTGTGCCTGAAGTGGTACGCAGAACCATGTTGGCTGGCATGCACAACGTCGCCCAATCCTCTTCTGGGTTTCTGGCGTGCATACGCGCATGATGATCAGCTGTTTTTTTTGTGCGTGCGGCAGTGCTGGAAACTGGAAGAGTTTTTTCCATTGTGCGCATGCATGCCAACCAGCTGATCATTGTGTGTGCATGTGTGCCAGTAACCGGAAGACAAACAAGCCAGGATGCATGCGCGCTCTGGAAGCCGGAAGTTCATTTCCTGGCGCATGCATGCCCACTGGACAGCTTCTCTTCCGAGGCGCATCCCTGACGTGTGCACGCGCCTTCCCTTTTCGGCACTCGGTGCCGAAAAGGTTCGCCATCACAGCCCTATACCATCCTGGTCAAATGACTGTCCAGTCTCTTAAAAAATCCCCAGTGATGGAACATCCATAACTTGGAGGTGGAATGGAAGTGAGCCATTCTGTTCATTAATTAACAGAATAACAGAATTGGAAGGGATCTTGGAGGTCTTCTAGTCCAACCCCCTGCTCAAGACTTTATACCATTAAGGTGACCAACTGTCTTCCTTTAGGGAGGACGGTCCTCCTTTTGTAAGTTCTGTCCTCCCTCGAAAAGCGTCCTCCTACATGTCCTCCTTTTTGATAGTTGAAGACTAATCTGTAAATCCCCGAATTTGATCGATGCTGATCCGATCCGTTGTGTGTGATGTGACCTATTTGTATTTGACGTGATGATTCGTCAACGCTTGGTACAGTGCGGCGAGACGCGATTATGAGACGCACGCGCTCCACACAGGAGAATTGTTTTGAGAGGGTGTACCGCGCGCAAGTGGCTTTGCTTTTTTCCTTCAATTTATTTGTGTCCTCCTTTTCATTGTAAAAAAATTGGTCATGGATTGACAACACATGGCTGTCCAGTCTATTTTGAAACCCTCCAGTATTGGAGCATTCACATATTCTGGAGGCAAGCTGTTCCACTGGTTAATTGTTCTCACTGTCAGGAAGTTTCTCCTTAGTTCTAGGTTGCTTCTCTCCTTCATTAGTTTCCCTCCGTTGCTTCCTCTCCTGCCTTCAGGTGCTTCGGAGAACAGGTTGCCCTCCTCTTCTTTGGGGCAACACCTCAAGTACTGGAAGACTCTCGTGTCACCCCTAGTCCTTCTCTTCATTAGACTAGACCAGTGGTGGCTAATCGTTTGGGGCTCCTGTGCTAAAAATTGTGCGTGCGCTTGCACGCGTGCGCTCATGTGCCAGCACCCAGAAGGCAATGTGCGCTCCCCCACGTCCCCTACACATCTGTGTGCAATCCCCACCCACCCATCTCCGCAGCCCCTTTACCTGCACTGCGCCTCGCAGCTGTGGGTTGAGGCCTTTTTCAGCCTCCCCGAGGCTTGAGGAAGGCTTCTGCAGGCTTTGCAGGTCGAAAACTAGGCCCGTTTCATCACTTCCGGTATTTTCGGACAAACAGGAAGTAATGAAATGGGCCTAGTTTTCATCCTGCAAAGCCTGCAGAAGCCTGCAGAAGCCTCCCTCAAGCCTCTGGGAGGCCGAAAAAGGCCTCAAACTGGCTGAAAATCAGCTGTGAGGCGCGCACATGCGCAGTGAGGTAAGTTTGCCTGCAGCTTGTGTGCCAGCACAAATGGTTCTGCGTGCCACCTGTGGCACGCGTGCCATAGTTTTGCCATCACGGGACTAGACATACCTAGTTCCCTCAACTGTTCATCATAGGGTTTAGCCTTCAGATCCTCTGTTATATTTTGTTGAATATATTCCTTGTTTACATTCCGCTTGAACGGAGTTCTTATTTCTGGTCTTGGCTTCCAAGTGGGATAATTTTGCAAATTGTTAGGTTATTAATACCGGTCTAACTCACCCTAAAATTACAGTATGTTCTACTGTTTGAAGATGAAAAGATGAAGGTCACGGCCCAGCATTGAATAACTCAGCCAGTTATTGCTCTCTGATGTTCCTTTGTTATAGTTTTCACATGTACAATTTCCTCGTGGAAGTATATATAATTATGCCGTTTATTGCGCCCGCTCTTCTGACATGACTTTTGACATCATTTTTCCAGGAAACCAAGATCACAAATTCTCCTGGGCTACAAGGAGAGTTTGATACGATCTCTTGATGTCATCATGTCTATAGTTAGCCTGTGAACAGAGACGCCAGATGGATATTTCCATTCGTTGCTCTGAGACAATGAGGGAGAGGGGGTGGGGGCCGAAAATTTAATTTCCACCCTTCATTACCGTCTCTCCCCTTGCCAATCTCAGGTTTCATTTTGGATTCTGCAAGAATAATTCCTGGAAGCAGGCCTGGTTTTTTTTTTTTTTTTCTCTTCCTCACAATGGGTTTGAGGTCACAATGCTGGAAGGCTGGAAGCTCCTTGGCATCGTGGTGGCCCAAGAGTTGGTGACAGGAACGAGGCGGGGTGGTGGAAAACGGCTATGTAAGGACAGCGGATGCTCAGTTTGACCGGTTAGACTTTAACCCGATGGTAGGAACTATCTGCTAACGCACTCTGGAGGAGATGAAAAGAACACAGTTGTGTTGGAAGCCACGGCAAACTAAGTCCAGGCTCTTTAGAATGACGTCTTCCTTTCCAACAGAAGTCGCATCTGGAGGCCAGTGATGAGATGTTGGAAAAATTGGTCAACCTGGTGACGATCCGGAATGAAACAATCCGTCAGGGTCTGGCAGAACTTCTCGGCACCTTCCTGATGATGGTGAGAGAGAACATCCGGGACGTGTGGGGGAGAGAAGGAGAAGGTGGCGTTAGGACAGCGTTTTTCAACCTTCGGCCACTTGAATTTGGGCGGGCTTCGACTCCCAGAATCCCCCAGCCAGCAAGGCAAGCCCACCCATCTTCCAGTTGGTTGAGTTTGAGAAAGAAATTAAGTTAGACAATGGGGGTGGGCATGGGAGGAAGACGCTGCCAGCATGCTTTTTCCTGGTTTGTAGAGTTTTTGGTGAGAGAGAAAAAAAATAAAATTTTGATTAGTGGGTTTGAAGATTAGAAAGTGTAGCTTGAGGGAAAGAAGGAAGTTGTGATGTAACTTTAGAGAACGTAGGAAAAATACTCTATACATGTACCCATAGCCACTCTCAAGAAGATTGGTAGCTATTTTTTATCCTTCCTTCCTTCCTTCCTTCCCTCTCTCTCTCTCTCTTTTTCTCTTTCTTTCTTTCTTTCTTTCTTTCTTTCTTTCTTTCTTTCTTTCTTTCTTTCTTTCTTTCTTTCCTTTTTGTTTTTCTTTTCTCTTTCTTTCTTTTCTTCCCTCCCTCCCTCATTCCTTCCTCTCTTCTCCTTCTTCCCTCCCTTCTCCTCCTTCCCTTCTTTCCCTTCTTCACTCCTTTCCACTCTTCCTCTCCTCTCCTTTCCTTCCTTCCCTTCTTCCTATCTATCATCCATCCTCTCTCTCTCTCTCTCTCCTCTATCTACAATCTATCTTTTCCTCCCTCTCTCCCCCCCCCAATCTATCTATCTACAATCTATCTATCTTTTCCTCCCTCTCTCCCTCTTTTCCTTCCCCTTTTCTATTTCTTTTCCTTTACTATTTATTGTTTTTCTTTATTCCCTATTTTTCCTCTCCTGTTTTTTTGTTTAAAATATTGTCAACAAAAATGGTAAGACACCAAACAACAAAACAAAACAAACAAAAAATCTGAGGTCTGGCTCAAGCAGCCTCTGAGCAGGAGATCTTTCACAACCTTGCTGTCCTGTCTGCTTGGACTCAGACGTGCAAAAAACAAAAACCTGAAAGAAAAAATCCATATTTCTGAGTCCTCCAAGCTAAACGCCAGCGAAGGACTATATCCCTGGCCAAACAGGTGAAGAGAATGATTATGTCACAATAAAAACAAAACGTTACCGATGAACAGACTTTGCAAGTGGAGGAGGTCAAGCAATGCAAATCGGTTGAGGGAATTCGACCGATCTTTTTTCCCTATCGTGATATTTTAGTCTGAATTAGATTATAGCTCAGTCTATTTCTCTCTCTTCAAACGGCTGCAGCCTTCTAGGTTCCAAGAGGAAATCAGAGGGTATAGTATTTGTATTTTTGGCATACAAAATATCTCCTGGCCAGTGGTGGGATTGAACATTTTTTTTACTACCGGTTCTGTGGGCGTGGCTTGGTGGGCGTGGCAGGGAAAGGTTACTGCAAAATCCCCTCCCCCACCCCACTAACCTGCTTTCCAGCTCCATTCTCCTGTGCAAAGCAACCAAAGGAGACCCAGCCGATCATCGGGGTCTCAATGGGAGGCAGAGAAGAGACGGGGTTGGCGGGGCCAGTCAGAGGTGGCATTTGCCGGTTTTCCGAACTACTCAAAATTTCCGCTTCCGGTTCTCCAGAACTGGTTAGAACCTGCTCAATAACTTTCCTGTATCTTTTCTTTTATGTACACTGAGAGTATTTGCACCAAGACAAATTCCTTTTGTGTCCAATCACCCTTGGCCAATAAAGAATTCTATTCTATTCTATTCTATTCTATTCTATTCTATTCTATTCTATTCTATTCTATTCTATTCTATTCTATTCCATTCTATTCCATTCCATTCCCACCTGTTCTATTCTGTTCTGTTCTGTTCTGTTCTGTTCTGTTCTGTTCCGTTCCGTTCCATTCCATTCCATTCCATTCCCACCTGTTCTATTCTATTCTATTCTATTCTATTCTATTCTATTCTATTCTATTCTATTCTATTCTATTCTATTCTATTCTATTCTATTCTATTCCATTCCATTCCATTCCATTCCCACCTCTGCTCCTGGCCCTGACTTTTTGAACTCTCTCCAGGACATTTTCCAGACAATATCAGAGAATGGACAACAGTGTTTTCCTTCCTCTTTCTAAATGTCTGTTATTCTGCTTTTCCAGCTTATCTTTCTTCCCGGACTAGATTCTGGAAAGGCTAAAAATGGTCCCCTATCTCAGGGATCCCCAAACTTGGCAACTTGTGGACTTCAACTCCCAGAATTCCCCAGCCAGCATGGGACTTGGAGTTCACAAGTCTTCAACTTGCTAGCTTCGGAGACCCCCCATCCCTGCCCTGCCCTGCCTGAAATGGCAGTTTCTGAGAGACCTTCTCTTTTCTTCTGACAGACCTTTGGCCTTGGCTCCGTGGCACAAGTTGTGTTGGGAAAGCACAATTTTGGAGAGTACTTGAGCATCAATCTTGGATTTGGGTTCGGTGTTATGTTGGGGGTCCATGCTGCCGGCGGAATCTCAGGTGAGTCCAGCAGGGGAAGGAGGGGCTGGATTACTAAACTAGGTAACATCAAGCACCTAGTCTAGCACTGAGGATGTTAGCTAGGTCGGTAATGAAATGTCTGGAAGAAAGCAGCTAAGTTCAGAGAGCACCAAGAACCTCCTCCTCCCCCTCCCCTCCTTCCCTCCTCTCCCTTCCCCTCTTTCTTCTTCTCCTTCTCCTTCTTCTCCTCCTCCTCTTCATCCTCCTCCTCCTCCTCTTCTTCTTCTTCCTCTTCCTCCTCTTCCTTCTCCTCTCCTCCTCCTCTTCTTCTTCTTCTTTTCTTTTTCTTCTTCCTCTTCCTCTTCCTCCTCCCCCCTCCTCCTCCTCCTCTTCATCCTCCTCCTCCTCCTCCTCCTCCTCCTCCTCCTCCTCCTCCTCTTCCTCTTCCTCTTCCTCTTCCTCTTCCTCTTCCTCTTCCTCTTCCTCTTCTTCTTCTTCTTCTTCTTCTTCTTCTTCTTCTTCTTCTTCTTCTTCTTCTTCTCCTTCTCCTTCTCCTTCTCCTTCTCCTTCTTCCCCTCCCTGAGCCTCCGTGCAAACCCTGCACTTACCTGGGATCCAAAATGAGCCAGTGAGGACTCCCAGGAGGGGCCGGGCGGAGTGAGAAGGGCCAGCCAGTCATCGTAAGTACTGATTCGGAAAAACAGACGTAAAATTAGCATTCGGTTCACCCAAACCGGTGTGAACCGGTAGCAGCCCACCCCTGGTTCTATCGAACCATTTGATTGCCATTCCTGTTCCTACTGTCATCCTAAAGAATCTGTTGTCTTTGTCACCCCCAAGGTGCCCATATGAACGCGTCCATCACTTTCACCAATTGTGTGGTAGGAAATTTACTCTGGCGCAAACTCCCAGCGTACGTGATCGGCCAGTTCTTTGGATCGTTTGCTGCCGCGGCTGTTATTTTTGTTTTATATTATGGTAGGTACGAATCCTCCCTGGTTTGCAGGAAGGAGAAAATATATCTATATCTATATCTATATCTATATCTATATCTATATCTATATCTATCTATCTATCTATCTATCTATCTATCTATCTATCTATCTATGGGTTGTCCTTGACTTATGAACACAATTAAGCCCAACATTTCGGTTGTTAGGTGAGACACTGGTTCAGTGAGTTTTGCTCTGTTTTATGACCACTTTTGCTGCAGTGGTTAAATGAATCATGGCAGTTGCTGAGTTAGTCACCCAGTTGTTAAGTGAATCTTGTGGGTGTAGCATCACTGTAGATGTTTCAAGAAGAGACTGGACAGCCCTTTGCCTGGGATATAGGGTAAGGTTTCGTGTCCAAGCAAGGGTTGGACTAGAAGACCTCCAATGTCTGTTCCGGCCCTACGATTTTATGAACGTGAGGAACATGCTGATCAGAACAGAATAACAGAGTTGGAAGGGACCTTGGAGGTCTTCTAGTCCAACCCCTGCTCAAGAAGGAGACCCCAGGCCATCTCAGATAGGTGGCTCTCCAGACTTTTCTTAAAAACCTCCAGTGATGAACCCTCTGCAACTTCTGAAAGCAAGTCATTCCACTGATTCATTGTTCTCACTGTCGGGAAATTTCTCCTGAATTCTAGATTTCCCGGCAAAATTCTCTTGCAACCTGGCTCCCTAAGAGGTTCTCATCTAGATGTACTTGGAACAGAAAGACTCACTTTAAGTTTCCTTTCCTTCTACCTGCTTCTAAAACAAGCCAGCCACCATTCTTGCCTTTCTCCATTTAAAAATTCCAGAAAATTGGTTGTCCAACCTCTTCTTAAAAGCCTTCAGTGATGTGGCACCCACAACTTCTGGTGGCAAGCCGTTCCACTGGTTAATTGTTCTCCCTGTTAGGAATTTTTTTCCTTATTTCTAGATTGCTTCTCCCCTTGGTTAATTTCCATCCATTGTTTCTTTCCCTGCCTTCTTTTTTTTAAATAGTAGAATTCTTTATTAGAATTCTTTTATTGGCCAAGTGTGATTGGACACACAAGGAATTTGTCTTGGTGCAAATGTTCTCAGGGTACATAAAAGAAAAGATACATTCGTCAAGAGTCAAGAATCATCAGGTACAACGCTTAATGATAGTCATAGGATACAATAAGCAATCAAATCAGATAGATGTAGATAGATGATAGATAGAAAGGAAGAAAGAAAGGAAGAGAGAGAAAGAGAGAGAG